CATGTGGGTCGTAGAGCCGTATATGCCTGATCGTTGCGTCCGACAGTTCGGGTGGGTTCAGGATATACCGCGCGGCTTGATTCCGTCGATGGAGCCATGTTCAGGCGGTCCCAAAGGAGGTACATCGTACAAAGTCAACTACCCATTTCCGGGTGGGATGTGGGACATGGTCCAGGCTCATTCCATTCGTGCCCGCGCATACAAGACGGCACGACAACGGGGGGGGAAGTCGACGAGCATTACATGGAGTGGTACACCGATCGGACTCAGCCGAAGATCAACAACCCCGACGTAGGCCCGACTCCAGTGCATCGAGAGAATGTGAGGCCACCAGATCAGCCGGCTTATTACCAGGTAGTACGTGCCCTGTACCCGATCACCAGGAGCACTGGACAGGACTGGATGCAGCAGTTTGCCGATCTACGTGCCGATCTTGGAGATATTATGCAGCCCACCGCCCGATATCTTGGCATCGACCGTGACAACGACAACGACGGCGACGATCATGAGGTGCAGCCGGCGAGAAGAGCGAGGCGGTAGTTTATCGGTTTTTTTTGGCAGTTATATATTTTTATGAACTATTTAATTTTAAAGTTTATTTTTATTATTATTAGGACTATGCATTTTTATTATTGTTAGGAACTATTTAATTTAATAGTTTATTTTTATTTTTAATTAGGAACTAATTATTTTACTAATTTTGTTTATTATTATTACGAACTATTTAATTTACTAGTTTGTTGTTTTGTATTTTAATTCACTAGTTTTATTATTTGAATTTAGAAACTACGTACAACCGAAGCAATTAAAGTACATATTTAAACAACCTTACAAACAATCTTACAAATTTAATACATTCCAAGAACATAGGTTAAACATATAAAATGCAAAACACAACGCTACAAATTTAAATATTCCAAAACATAAGTTTGAATGCAAAATTAAAACAAATATAAATTTAAACATAAGTTAAACTTTCAAATACCAGGCAGATGGTTATGATTACCATTACTCACACTCAATCGCCATAATCCATACTCCGTTGATTTTTTGCCAATTAACCTGAACGGACAAGAACGTTTCTTCAATAGTACGTGTCGTCCAGATTGATATTTTGCACACGTTAAAACATGATGTTTTTCTGATTTACAATGATTAATCAGTCAATGATTATGACTAATTGCTGTGTCTTTTGCCCACATGATTAACGCTTCTCTACTATCACACACAATACCACGTTCAAAGAAGTGACTATGATCGTGAGATTGTTCTCTTAGTTCCTGCATAAATATTTAAAATTAAAAGACAATATTTAAGGGATTTTGTAGAAAAACATACGAAATGTAACCTACATTTCGTGTAAACACACACGAAATAATAGCTTCCATTTCGTAGGTTTTACCACGAAATGTAAGCTTCCATTTCGTCTGATTGTCTACGAAACAAACAACTAACGATTTTAAGACATATTTCATAGTATTACACGAAATGAAAGCATATATTTCGTGTGTTATAACACGAAATCTCTAAAAACGTTGGAAATGAACAAAAAACGTGTATTTTCACCTCAAAATCGAAGTCGTTGTCATCCATATCGATAATACTTCTACTCTAATTGATATTGGTGAAAAATTACTAAAATTGAAAATTTTCAAGAATAAAAGATTGAGAGTGTTTGAGAGAAGATTTGGATACGATTGAAAAAGAAAAAAAA